GGCACCCCACACCCATTAGGTACCACATGCCTCTACATACCTTCCGAGAGTACTGCTAAACCTGAATCCTAGATCAACTTTCTATTAAGGAAATTCCCGAGGCAGCGAAGATCATCCGGGATTATGCCAACCCCAAGTCTATCAAGTTCAATTGCCTCACACTCCGTGAACCCCGCAAAGCGGAATACCGGGCGTTCCGTGCTGGCGCCGTCGCAGCTCCTGCCCGTCGCGCTTTCGCCATCGTCATTGTGCGCGAAACCAACATGATTGCAGAGGTGGTGGCCAATCTCGCCACCGGCAAGGTTGAGGAATGGAAGGACGTTCACGACGTCGTGCCTACCCTCACCCTAGAGGACCTTGATGTGATGGAGCGCGTCGCCCGCAAGGACGCTCGCGTCATCCGTGCCTGCAAGGACCTTGGAATTACCGACATAAACAAGGTCTTCTTTGACGCATGGGCTATCGGCATCGACGAGCGCTGGGGATACGAGCGCCGCCTCCAGCAGGGTCTGGCTTACTACCGCAACTCCGATTTCGATAACCAATACGCCCACCCTCTAGATTTCAGTGTTGTCGCCGACACTGAGACAGAAGAGGTTCTCAGCGTCGACATTCGTTACGTAAACGGCGAGCGGACTGCTTTCCCTCTTAAGGAACACAATTACCTCCCTGAGTTCATCGGCGACAAGTACAATCACGATCGCCTCAAGCCTATCGATATCACCCAGCCTGAGGGTGTCTCTTTCAAGGTCCGCGGCAATGAGCTGACCTGGGCCAACTTCAAGATGCACATTGGCTTCAACTACCGCGAAGGTATTGTCATTTCCGACGTGCGCACCCACGACATGTACGAGGACCGCGAGCGGACTCTCTTCAACCGTATCTCCGTCGTTGAGATGGTTGTTCCCTACGGCTGCCCCGAGAAGCCTCACCACAAGAAACACGCTTTCGATGTCGGCGAGTACGGCACCGGTCTGATGACCAACTCTCTGAAGCTGGGTTGTGATTGCAAGGGTGCCATCCACTACATGGATGGTGTTATGTCTACCTCCAAGGGTGAGGCCGCTGTAATTAAGAACGCTATTTGCATCCACGAGGAAGACGACGGCCTCCTCTACAAGCACACAGACTTCCGCGACGGCACAGTGATCTCCGCGCGTGACCGCAAGCTTATCATCTCCCAGATCATCACCGCTGCCAACTACGAATACGGCTTCTACCACACCTTCACCCTGGATGGCACCTACAAGCTAGAAATGAAGCTTACCGGTATGCTGAACACCTACTGCATGCACCCAACCGAAACCGCTGCTCCCTTCGGCACAGAGGTTGCCCCCAACATCACCGCCCACAACCACCAGCACCTGTTTTCCCTCCGCATCGACCCGGAAATCGACGGCCAAAACAACTCTGTCATCCAAAGCGACGCCGTCTCCGCCGAAGCCCCCGTCGGCTCCCCAGAGAACCCCTACGGCAACGGCTTCTACAGCAAGAAGACCCCACTCCGCACATCCCTCGAGGGTGCCGCAGACTACTGCTACGAGACCAACCGCTCGTGGGACATCATCAACCCCAACCGCATGAATGCTGTCGCCAAAAAGCCCGTCGGCTACAAAATCCTGAACAACAACTGTCCCCCAATGCTCGCCAAGCCAGGCAGCACTGTCTGGAAGCGCGCCGCTTTCGCCCGCCACCCCCTCTGGGTTACTCCTTACAAGGACTACGAGCTCTTCCCAGCTGGTGACTACGTCTGTCAGTCTGACGGCTCTGAGGGACACCCTCACAACCCGACCATCGCCGACTGGGCGCGGCGCAATGAGAACATCGAGAACACCGATATTGTTTGCTATATGCAGTTCGGTCTGACGCATTTCCCGCGTACTGAGGATTTCCCTATCATGCCTGCTGAGCCGGTTAGCATTATGCTGCGTGCGTCGAACTTCTTTGAGAAGAACCCTGGTCTCTGGGTGCCGCCTTCGGCTATTTGTGTGGATACCCAGTCGAAGAATGCGTTCCCTTCTTCCTGCTGTGCCACAAGTAAATCCCGGATGTGAGGAGTGAAGGAACGGCGGCATCGGCGGCATTGATTTATGGTACGGTGTTTGGAAATGGGGGATCTTTCAGTGTGCTTTGTTGTACATAGTAAATAGTACATAGTCTCGCCCTCTTTGTTTATATCAAATTGATTTTGACCAACCTTCTCTTTTGGTTCTGATTTGCATTATTATATTCTAAGTGATTCTACAAAATTCTGCTGCGATCTGTGTCATGGCATCTAACCTTCACTTCATCGATACATATGTATAATGTACTCATAAAGTCTATCAAATAAGAAACCTCCGCAGGCACTCTCTCCAAGCTCAAATAATATTCTTCAGCTCCTGCCCAGCAAGAAGCCGTCGGAGGTTAAACGCAATAAGCGCCTCAGCCTCACGCGGGCGTCCACCAGCAGCATGGGGCGAGAGGATGAGATTAGGCGCAGCATAAAGCTTCGACTCCTTCGGCAGCGGCTCCGTCGAGAAGACATCCAACGCGGCGCCACCAATGCTGCCCTTCTCAAGCGCCTCAAGCAGCGCATCCTCATCAACAGAAGTCCCGCGCCCGACATTAACAACCCAAGAGTGACTCGGCAGCAGCGCCAAGCGCTCAGCACTAAGCGCACCATTGGTACTCGCCGAACCAGGCAGAATCATAACAAGTGCATCAGTCTTGGGCAGAACCTCTGGCAAGCGATCCTCCGCAACAACCTCAAACCCGTGCCGCACACCCGCACTCCGCGCAACACCGGTAACATTAGCCCCGAGGGCAGTCAGCACGGGCGCAAGGGTCTTGGCAATATTCCCGAATCCCCAGATAGTAACATTGGCACCCTTGAGGGTACGGAAAGTGCCAGGGGCGCGATCAGCCTGGGCGCCGCCCAGATGGGCAGGCCACTCGCCGAGGAACTGGAAATCGCGCATCTCATAGAAGCGGCGGGCAGCGTTGAGTAGCAGGCCGAGGGTATGTTCCGCGACTGTTTCGTCGTGCAGGCCGGAGCCAGTTGTGATAGCGATCCGGGAGGCATCAAAGCCCGCAGCGAGGACGTCGTTCGGACCAGCTGCTAGAGACTGGATCCAGCGGAGGTTCTTCATGCGGGAGGCTGCGTCGCGGAGGTTGGTAGCTTTGTTGGCCCATGTTACCAGGAACTCTGCGTCGATTAGGGATTCGGGGATTGGGAGTGTGACATCGTAGGGGTGCAATTCGACGGAGAAGCCTTCCAGGGACTTTGTGTCGAGGTAGAGGGAGGTTGGGTACAGGAGTTTCATCTTGTGGGCGGGTTGGAGGTGATTTATTAGAGTCTCAATGCGTTTTTTGGGTGAAGATGACATTAAGAGGGGGAAAGTCAAGGGTTCTTATGGGGAGAGTGACAAATCTGTGGCAACGCGGGGTAACTCCGGGAAAGCACAGATGCAGGGCGATCAATGAAAATTATTAACGCGATCCTGCGTCGCTCTGACATGGGCACTATATGATAGATTATAAAACTGGCTATAGGTATTGAAGTGCACATATAATTTATAAAGCAGGCCCTAGAAAAGCACCTTTAAAGGCATTGTACACTAGCCGTATCTAGTTAGCTTGTGACGTCGCATCTTCTTACGGATAGCACCTCATCAAAGGTTGTACATAGAAAAGTCGCTTTCACAAATGAAGCCTTTTCTTGGCCCTTTCCTACTATCTATCCAACAAACTAAGAAGGGGGGAAATATCTATATAACCAGACGTCTAAAAGACTACTTGAGGAGCTACCGAAAATGGCCACCAAAAAGACATAAAAAGACTATCGGAGAAGACAAACGAGAAGACAAACGAGAAGACAAACGAGAAGACAAACGCTCAGTGATCGCTTCTGACCGACCTTGGAACCTTGGGAAGGTTATTGGTTGCTTAGTGACCATTTACGGACAATCAATGATGGATGGGTGATCGCTCAGTGACTGCTGTGTACTGCTTTCTTAATGATGCTCTGTTTCTAGCCAGCGCTCAGCTCTGCTTTATTCAACCACTAATAAGCTACACTAAGCAGGAAACACCCTATAAGGCCATCGATTCTGTGATGGCTAGCGTGGTAAGAAAGCCTGTGCTGCCCTCGTCTTCTGGATGTCCCCTTGTCCTTTAGAAACTGCGTCATTCTCTAGGGATCACTGAACAATGAAGGACAAAGAAACAATGTGTATTGGATTCCTGTCGGAGAGGGAGAAAGGAGAGAGAGAAAGATCTATCTACTCCCATCTAGCAGACAAGTGTTGTCACCGTAGGTGCATAATCCCTTAAGCCCCCAAAACAATGGCCTTCTAACAAGTAGACGAGCCTGATAGCTCTAGGTAGCAAGGCAAAGGGCTTCATAGCCTGATGCATGTAGACATACGTGTCTAAGGGGAGCAGGAAAGTGGTCAACAGAATGTATTGATGACAAATTATCTACTGCAGTGGAGCTCTCTGATATATATAAGGACAACCTGGAAAGGAATAAAGGCCTGAGAGGGACAAAGAGAGATTGATCAAACAGTAAGCAACCAACCCCTCGTACGTACATGGTTGTCTAATGTGAAACATTTCGGTGCAGATCCACCCTGGGAGGCATCGGGCCGAGTTGATTTCTCTCGGATCGACCAGCCTCCGTTATCCGGTGAAGAAGAAATGGGCAACTCGGTTAGGAGAATGTTCTCCTATTGATGTAATGGTGGCTTACAGCCGCAGGTCTATGGAAGTACCATGTTTAATTGGGTTGTCCGTCTCCTGTTGGCCTATGCCTAGCGCAACCCTCCACTCCGGACAAAAGAATGGACCCGGAGATATGCCATAATCGCGCTAGACTTGCATTGAATGGCTCTGTAGTATGGTCCAAGTCACCGTCTATGACTGGAAAGAATATATATATCATCGGATAGACCTCGCAACCAAAGATTCACAAAAGACGTTTATCCTTTCCTCGCTTGTCCACTTTGAATACTACAACTATGACCGCTGCAATTCCAAACCAACCTCGCGACCTTCCTCTCCTTGCGACACCTGACATTTGTTCATCCAAAACCTACATTGTGACTGGGGCCAACTCCGGACTGGGCCTGGAAGCAGCACGGCACCTTGTCAATGCTGGGGCCGGAAAAGTAATTCTCGCGGTTCGCAATACTGGAGCTGGTAATAAAGCCGTGAAGGATATCGAGTTGTCCACAGGAAGGTCCGGTGTGGCTGAAGTATGGTCGCTCGATCTTTCCAGCTTTGACTCGGTTAATGCGTTCGCGCACAAGGCCACAGTAGAGCTTGATCGAATCCATGCTGTCATTCAGAATGCGGGCGTTGCCACGTCGGAGCGTGTGCTAGCAGAAGGTCACAACATGGCGGTCACTGTCAACGTCCTTAGCACGCTTCTTCTGGGATTGCTTCTTCTACCAAAACTGAAGGATGTCGCACAGTGCTACAATTTCGCGCCACGTCTGACGTTTGTGAGCAGTATTGCGGGATTCGATGTTCAAGCTCTCTGGGGGACAATCAGAGATTCTCCATTGTCCAAGATGGACGCGGAGGATATGGACCAGTCGGCAATGTGAGTCTCATTTCGTACAAACTTGCTTAGTCCGAGCTAAACTCGAACCGTCAGATACTCCCTTTCAAAGCTCACGCTAACAATGGCGGTTCGTCACCTTGCCACGCTAATCCCCGTGAATCGTACGGGTGTTGTGGTGAACCTTGTCTGTCCCGGGTTGTGCAAGACCGAAATAACTCGCAATATACCAGCCGAAGTGCAAGCGGGCATCGCCAGCCAGCTTACCCAGTTTGGAAGAACGGCCGAAGATGGTAGCCGCACCCTACTCCACGCAGCACTGGCGGGTAGAGAGACTCATGGATACTTTCTTCAATCCTGTCTGAATGGAGAGTACGTAAATCACTGGTACAGCCCCATTTCAAATCAATCCTCATTGCTAATTCTACCTACTCTTCAGGGACCTACCCGAGTGGGTGATAAATGGAGAAGGAAAAGGCTGGCAGAGACATACATGGGATATTATTTCCAAAGAGCTAGATTCTGTCAAACCTGGGTGTGTTTAGGAGGTGCTTCAGTGAAGATGATCATACCGAGAAATCCTGATGCAGTGCTGTATAGAACCGAGACTTCCCAAAATGCATTCAATATAAGAAAATCGACCACGCTGAGACAATTCTAGAGGAATATTGCATAAATGACACTCTACATTTCCTTATATTTTGTATCGCAACGTGGATTTTCCGGTTGTCTAGGTAGCCCTAATTTGCTCATGATAGCGGTCTTTTAGAGGTTATAGACTTTTTCCCCAGCAGGGCGAACAAGTGGAAGAAGAATGGTTGGAAGGAAGCCGGCGGATGGAGAGTTTTGGTGTCGCCAAGGACTCTATTTAGTTCATGAAGTCTTCATTCCGATCGCAATTCACAGTTGTCTGCTTTTCGCTCATTTTTGAATCTATTTGTATTCCTGGCGACCTCGATGCGTCTGACCAATACACCTTGGATGGCGTTATAGTATTAATATAGGTCATATGATAGGCGTTAAGTATACTATAGGGATATTATGATAATCACCGACTGATTAAGAATTGTGTCCAGCAGAAGGCATACTCCAAGGAGTTCAGCGGATGTGTGTCGCTGGATAAAGGGTGTCCGTAGTCCTTCTCGTACGAGAATATCAATGTAAAGTGAAAGTTGAGCTTTTCTAAATCTACCTAGGCTGCGAGAATGGCTGCTTGCTAACTTAGGGCTTCACGGGTTGTGGCTAGTTGATCAGGAGAATTGATACTGTAGGTGGTCACGCCCTCGGCACAACGTTTGTTCAGGGCTGCCAGAGCCCTGCCCGGGCCGCATTCCACCAGATTCACCACGCCATTCCCAGCCAGGGTCTGTACACAATCGACCCAGCGTACCGGCTGGTATAGCTCCACCAGCAGGTTCTGCTTGAGCGCATCGAGGTCGTCGGCGACGGTGGCGGTAACGTTGCGCACCACCCGCATGTGTGGCGCCATCCACTCGACGCTATTGACCATCGCAGAGAAACGGTCCGCGGCTGGTTTCATTAGGGCGCAGTGCGACGGCACATTGCCTGCCAGCGGCACAACGCGCTTGGCACCCTTGGCCTTGCACAGCTCGGTGGCGCGATTCACCGCGGCTTTGTGGCCGGCGATGACCACCTGATCTGGTGAATTGAAGTAGGTCACGCTGACCACTTCGTCGTCGGCCGCTTCACCGCAGATGGCGACCACGTCGGCATTGTCCAGGCCGAGGATAGTGGCCATGGCGCCATTATTGAGTTCTGCGGTTGCCTGCATCAACCGAGCACGAGACTCTACCAGGCGAACCCCACTCTCCAGCGACAAGCTGCCGGCCGCGACCAAGGCGCTATATTCGCCGAAGCTGTGGCCAGAAACGAAGGCCGGGCAGGGACCGCCACTTTCCAACCACAGACGCCACAGGGCGATGGAGGCAGTCAGGATCGCCGGCTCCGCCTTTTCTGGTTGATTGAGTTGTTCTTGCGGACCTTCCTGGACCAGCGCCCACAGACTGTATCCCAGAGCCTTCGAAGCTTCCTTGAAGGTTTCGAGGATCACTGGACTTTCAGCGCCGAGGTCGGCGAGCGTGCCCACTGATAGGGACCCTTGACCAGGAAAGACGAATGCGAGGGATGCAGACATGATTGAACTAGCCCGTGTTGTCTTGCCATCGGATGAGGTGTGTCGAACACGAGGCTGGACACGGAAAGTGAATACTTTGGTGATAATGAGCACCAAATGGTCATGTTTAACCACTCCGGGACGAATGTGCGGCTGAAAGGACTAACCAGATAGCATGGGAGCTGAGGGAGCTTTCACACCAGTACTATGTAGGCAATTGCCTTTGTTCACAATTGGCCTTTTCAAAGGGATGGTGGCCCACGTCCTTAGTGACGTCTAACTATGCTCACAGTTACCTAATGAGGTAAATATGAATCCATGGACACGTGATCTTGCAATCTATAAACTCACGAAACCCGAATAATGTGGTACATATGCATTATATTCTGGATAGAACGGAGAGACACTCGAGATTTCAAATAGTAGGTAGATAAATACAATGAGCACAATGGGTATCAGTCAATTCGGCCACGGCCTACCAAAAAAAAAGCTATATAGCGAAGGATATACACAGAACCAGAATATATACGGATGAATCATCATTCCAAATATCAACTTTCCACCTACGAAGCACCGTCTTTCTCAAGAGGAATCTTGGTATCACCCTCGACGGCACCAGTGCCCGTCAAAAAGAACTCGAGCTCACTAGGTCCACCCTGCGAGTTCTCATTTTCCGCGAGCTGTTCCAGCAAGCTCAGAAAAGGGTCTTTTTCAGCCGTGCCCTCGCTACCGGCTGTAGTGTGGGTGGCACTAGTTTGGGACTGAGCACCTGGGGTCATGGCAGTGGGACCCGATTGTGCCATTCCGTTCAGATTTGCGTGAGCGGTGTCGAAGGGGAAGGTTGCGTATTGCGGGTTTGGAGGCGGTGTTGGTGCTACGTTCAGGGGCGCGTCGGTGAGAAAGGCTGGTGGGGAGAGGCCGAAGGCCGAGGGGGAGAAGCCCGGAATGGAGAGGTGGGTGTTTTCTGATGTGCCCGCACCGGATAGGTCTGTTCCGGTTGGGAGGGAGAATAAGGAGGGCAGGGATGGTGAGTTTTGGTGTGGATTGGTTTGGATCGCGTGGAATTGAAGGGTGGGCGAGAGGGAGGCTGGGTGAGGGGATTTCTGGGATAGGAAATGGGAATGTGAATGGGAGTGGCGACGGTCGATATCTGAGCCCTGGGTAGATGTTAATGGACTCGAGGGCCCAGGCCGTGTACTTGAGAAGTAGGACGAAGGACTCTGATATGATGGTGCGGCGATCGGCCGTTGGCAATAGTGATCTTGACGATCGATAAAGTTTACAGTACTGTGTCCAGAGTTAGTGATCATATGACATGGATGCAAAAAAACTGAAATCACGAGACGACCTACCTTGGAGCCAGATCATCCGCCGCATCTATGAGCCGAACGTGTGATCCATCCAACGTCAGACCAGGATATCGGTCGAGAAAGTCTTCGAGGTGGAAGACAGGAGAGAAACGCATTGGGCTACTGGCAAGGTTGCGCACCAATTCAGAGTGACACGTATAGATAGTCTGTAGCAGCTCACGTTGATACTGCACACCAGTGCAAATATTGCGCAACCAAGCAAGCTGGTTCATCTCCCGAGTCAGGAATTCAGCGCTGGAAGAGAACACCTCTCCCTCACGGCCCTTGTAGTGCACGCCGTGAACATGCACAGTCCCCGCTGTGCATACACAGTAGCTAACGAAAGCAGGCCACTCAATCAGCGGAGAATTGCGACCTAGTTCAACTAGCTCTGCGATGGCATTGGAGTGTGAAAAACACAAGTTCGTGGCCTCAATTTGCCAGGACTGATGTTGCCCCGTACCTCGGAGCTCTACCAAGTCAATGGGTAGGAACGGGCGATAGATCAAACAGTGCACCAAATGGTAGATGAGCTTGCTCAGCAAAAGTGTTGTGCTCTCGGGGTGGCCAAACAATGCATCGATAGATGAAAAGACATCTTGCGTACCGGCTGCCCAGATATCTAATTCTTGTCGTATCTTAGATAGATTAGAAAGCGCATGCCATGGGAAGTGAGAATCGCCTTTGACCCCGCCGGCCGCCAGATACTTATTGGTGACACCAAGAATACGCGTGATATCAATCAACAAAGAGGCAGCACTTGGTGATTTACGTCTGGAGTCCGCGGAATATTGAATGTTTGGGCCGACATGGAAGAGTTCTCCCTCCATGTTCAGACCAGCCGCATGTGGTGACCAAGACGGTAGGCGCAGAACAACCGAATGATCAGTGATCAGGCATGGACGCCGGGATCCACAATTAATGAATCTGTCCATCAAGTAAACGGACCAGAACAGCCGACGCCTCATTTCTCGCTCAGCAGGCGCGGCATTGGGCTTAGAGGGAGCCTCGCGATACAAATCCAGCGCAACGATCATGGCCACGCAATTTGCTGATCATCATTAGCGGAGTTCATTCAACCATGTGGGATCGCGAGAAAGCATACAGAATGTCATATAAGCTTTCTTTCCCAGACCATAGGCATAGAAAGCTTGCGAAAGTAACAATAGAGTCTGCAGTCCTTCTATTGTAGGATTGTCGATTTCAATCATGCGTCTTGCTTGTAGCGCCGCATCAAGCCCGGTACGTAGAGACTGATCCACTTGACCAGAGGAGATCGTGTATCTGAGATGCGTCAGTCAAACATGTAAACATGCGACAGGGCTATGAAGCTCGGTTTTTACCTTACTGTCATTGCTGAGATAGCCATGGCCAAGCACGGAGGCAATTGGTTCAGTTGATGGTGTTGTCGCGTTGTCGCCTCGTCTAGTACATAAAATGGCTTACCATGCAATCGCTCAAAGTAAATATCGAGTATCGCATCCGATAGGGGTCCATTGTTTGTTGGAGAGGGCTGTTGCAGAAGACTTGCTGGGGGCCCGGTCGGCCTAGGGAAGGGATCCACATGTTGTGGGAGAGCAGTCGGCAGAGCCGATCGATCGCCTGGAGAGTAAATATTAAAGGAACTGTCTATAGTGTTGCGACGGGTGGGAAAGCTCGGCGGATCGTCCGGGGTATCAGGCGAAGTGGGCGAAATAGGGTTCTTTTCGTCGTGGAGCCGTTTCTCCAACCCATCGACCCGCTTGAGGAGAGCTTCTAGCACATCGGTCTTGGGGCCCCGTTTTTTGGGTACAGCATCTTGAACAAGATCAACAGGGGAAATCATGGGATGTGGAAAGGACATAATTGACCTACCATAAAGACATGGACACTGGAAGACCTTACATGCCTCGCAGCTCGGTCGCAAGCGATTACATTTGATCTATAACAAGTTAGACACAGCCAATCACACCCGGACTGACTGGACAGACCTTGCGCTTGCGACAGGATTTGCAATTCATGGTTTCGCGCGGCTCGGCCGTCGCACGGCGGGGGGTGAGACGGTCGATGCTGACCTGAGGACGAGACATGGCACATCTACATGGAAGAGAAAGACGAGAAGAAGAAAGAAAACGGCCACGGCCAAGATGGATAAGAAGCCAGGCACATGGCTGTGGCGTTAAAATAAAAGGAAAAGCGTATACCACCCAACCTTGCGGAGAGAAGGAAATGCGGAGAAGGTGATGTGCCGCCGGAATTCCCCAGTCTGGGCTGACATGGACTATTATATTTGTTTAATTATACGCATGATTTAGGCTATTAATTACGATTATAATATCAAGCCCCTATGTATCTGTGTATATATGTATATCCTTATTCTTAATTTTAAGTTCACTCTACTTCTAACATCTTCATCTCAGAGACCAGTTCCACTCCCCTTTAATCTGTATACATGGCGGGAGTGATTTCCGTTTATGGAATACACCCACTTTAGGGCTCCGACGCCAACATCCGAGATGATCCAGGTACCCATAAAAGGAATTGCACTTAATTGCATAGCTTAATATATTCGGTCACTAAATAGCTATATCCTGTCCACCATGCCATGGGGTTCTTAGATACCGCTTACAACATAGACGCTTAAGTCTCCTCAATTTACCGAAAGTGTCTCCTGCAGAACTATTGCAGTATGAAGTGCTTATTACGGTCTTACTATTGGCTTATTGCACCTCCGCAAAATCCGTTCGATCCTAGCCTGATCATCCACTGCAGCTACTGTATTCGAGACGGAACCTCCATCCTAGTCTTCTTTTAACTTTCTGAACAGTTCTTTGTGATTTCGTCAAGATTTCCCGAGTAAACCGTATGCTCTCCTCTTTGTTCTAAAAATCGTGCCAAGCGCGCTAACATCAGGTATGTACTCCATACGGAGTGAGTGGGCCTGGCATCATTACTCTACATAGTATATACTCCGTATGCCTCGACGCCCTAATACCGACCTCACTGCCCAGGCAAAACCTTCCTCGCCATTCCACCCACCCATCCGCTCCAACCCCTCAATAACACCAGCATCATTAACGGGCCTCCTGACTAACTTTAAACCGGCGATTAATCCGCGTGATTTCGATCGTCATCCCAACAATGTTCTTCATAAGCACAGAATGTACTCCTCGGCGCATCGGTGATTTTCCAAGCCGGCCTCGGGGTAGCTAATGCCGAGCCATCATCATGCCCGCTAGCGCCGGTCGTCATCTTCACCCCTGACTCATCTCTCGATCTGGGCTCCGGTCCTGTGGAAACCCATTCCCATTCTCAATTCCACGTCCAACTCCCCTGTGTTTGACATCAGATCCCGATCCCAACCCAGACTCATCTTGAAACCCCATTACTCCCCCTTCTCCAAGCCGGGCTATATCACCCAGCTGTGGACGTAGAAACAGCTCAGTTTGCTCGTCTTTCGTATTGTATATAGTCACCCGACCGTAGACCTGCACCGCGGTGTAATTCCACGTCGGAGCGACCCTGCCTGTGGCGGGTTGGACTCTGTGTAGAAGTTCGGGGCGATGTAGTGGTCTACTGGGCTGGTGAAGACAATTAAGATCTCGCCGGGGAGAGCGTGGGCCGTTGATGTTGTTGGTTCTTCTGCAGGACTTGCTATAGGAAATGGCCTGGGATACTGGTTCTTTTGGTGCTGTATTCAGGGGCAGATTCTACCATTGCTTTGCTCTGCGGGTTTTGGCGCGCGATGTGGCTACGGAGGACGAGGACTCCCACGGAGGGATGTGGCGGTGAGGGGGTGTTGTCATCGGCTACTTTCGCTCGTTTGCTAACTCGGCCTCGAGGGTTGTTTCACTGTCCAACACCCAGGGGATATGGCTGCATTGGAGGGTCGGGTGATTGTCCGAAGGGAAGTTGTGAGGGCACCTAGTGGGTATTGTTTGATGAAGGCGTGGAGGGTTGGGAGGTCTCGGAGCGCATGATCGGGACGTAGATGTATATTCAATTTGTTTAGATTGAATATATATAGAGGTAAACCTTGGAAGGCAAACAAGGCTTAGGGTAAGGAGGAAATGAGTGGTTGACCCCGGATTTTCTCCTAAGTTCTTCTCGTGCCGCGTCTATATATTCAAATATTCTTTCCGAGGCGTTAGCAGCTGTATGACTCTAAAACACGAAAATGGCGCAGCCAAACACGGCAGCAACTACCTATCACAGCCTGCTACCTGTGGTGTATACATACAGCGGTGTTGAAAATACCCAGGTGCAATTGATCCTTAAATAAAGCGCCATTCCTTATATCCAAGTAACCCCCTGGAAAAAAATCGCGATCCAACATCAATATCAACATCTATTGCATCAACAATAGACAATAAAAGCGAACCACAAATGACCTACGTAGGTATGCAGTGTACTATACTATATAACTAGAACAGAGGCCTCCCAGACGCCATGCGCACAAAGTCAAACGGCACGTTCTGGCCAACAAGCAACCTGAGCGTCTCAACAGTAGTCCAAGCACTAACATCCTCAACACCGTATGCGGTCCATCCAGCACGAGTGGCAACAGCCAAAGGATCCCCCTTCCTAAGCCCACTCGTAAGATCAAGATAGACCCTCCCACGAGTGCAAGGCGGCGAGCAACGACCATTAACACCATAATGTCTCAGCAAAGGCTGCACGAGCAGCGATTTCTCCGGCGGCAGCGCAGAGACAATAACAAAGGGTTGCTCAACTCGTTTGACAGATTGGATGGATGTGAACGGCTCAAGACCTGCAGCGAGCGGGCCACTCGCTTTAAATCCGACTGTGTAGATCGTGCCGACGGCCAGACTGCGTAACGCGAAGATCGCCGCTGAAGCATCTGCTTGGGAGCTGGCGAGGATGATCGCTGCCCGGCCGCTGTACGCGGATGGCACATATTCGCGTGTCAGGGTCGCGCGGATGCCCTTCCAGGCGGCGTTTTCGCCAATGAATCGGGAGGTCCCTGGTGCGGCTTCACCCGGTGTCATGGCGATTGTGTCGACTAACCCGATTGCGCGGGCTGCATCGCTGACTGCGGGGATGAAACTAGTTGTGGTTGGGACTGGGGGGTTGACGTAGGCGCCACCGAAGTGCGGTTGGAGGAGAACGGATTCCATGGAGCCTTTTGGGCCGCGTTCAACTGAGGTGAAGTTGTGCGGGAGGCCGAGCTCGTTTAGGCATTTCTCCATGAACATTGAGTGTGGGGTTGAGCGGAACGAGCCGATGGCGTAAAGCTCGCGCTTGGGGAGTTGGCCCATTATGTGTAGGGCTTCATTGATCTCCGCTGCAGTTAGCTGGCCCGGGGCGGCGATCATTGGGAGGAGGGGGTGGGTGATTGGAGAAAAGACGGTATTGAGGGCCCGGGATAGCTGGCCCATTTGGCCCATGTTGACTGCTGACAGGGGTGGGCCTGGTCCGCGGCTTTTGATGGTAGAGCGGAAGTATTCCAGTTCGTAGTTCTCCTCGATTGTGTGGACCATGGCGATCATCTTCACGATGTCGGCGTACTTGGCGCTTTCAGTGAATATGCGCTGCGCCTCTTCGGATGTCCACTTCCAGGTCCCGGAGAAGTCATGGAATGCAGATAAAATCATACTATGGCCCTTTTTCTCAAACAGCTGGCGCCGGATCTCCTCTGGCAGCCACAGTTCGACATCGATATACTCGACTCCCCACTGTATCGCGCGCCGTAGGTACTTGTAAAAGAGCGCTGGGTCATCTATCGGAAACTTCCCATTCTCCCTTGTACAACGAACAGTAAAGATAATAGGCAACTCAGTATGCTGCCGCAACAACATCAACTGCTGACCAACATACTTCAAACTCGGAACAGGCGGAGTGGCCCAACCCTTCGGCACAGGCTCAACCAGCAAATCCACACGGATCTCAACAGCATCAGATCCCACAGACAGGATATCCAAATTCGGCAAAGCAGCATGCACATCGGGAAAAGTAGTCGAAATAAAATTTGTCCTGGTCTTCGTCCGCAAATCATCATGCGGCCTTGTCTGGCCAAAAATCAAAGACAAAAACCGCGACAGATCCCGGCGCAGGAACGGACTTCGTGAATATAAGAACTCATAGTCACAAATCTCGGTGAGCGAGTCTTCCGGCGCAGTCCCGTTTTCCACACAGTACGTGTTTACCAGAACCAGAGGTGATCGCTCGCATTCTTGCAAGCTCTGCGCTAGATCGTGCGCTAGTATCCCCACTACCACTGCATCGCTGGCTCGCGCAAGCGTGCTAAGCGACGCGTCCGTTGTCCATGGCTTACCCAGAACCTCCGCTACCAGTTGTACGATATGCTGTTGGTTCTGACCGTAGATGATCACGACAGTGCCCGCAGCAGTGGCGGCGGCCGGCGCGGCGATGCCCACGGCTGTCTGGTCTGTCGGCCCGCCTGCCGGAGGAGCGAGAGAGAGGGTTGTTGTAGCATTGGAAGGGCCGGCGATATTGGGGTTTGCGCCAGGAGGATCTTGCGCTTTGAGGGCGGTGGAGACAGGGAGATCGTCGAGAAGCGGCGTGGCCATGTGCTGCGGAAAGGCTGTCGGAATCATGGCATAGCAGTCCCAAGTGTTTTCATACTTAGTGCTGGCGAGGGTGTATATGCAGGTCAAAGTATGGGCCAGGACGGGTAGAGATGGGAGTTGGGAAGGGGAATGAGCGCAAAGACCAAGGAGAGTTTTTGCAATTCGCTTCTTCACGCTCAGGTCCCGGGTACACGCAAGGTAGGTAGTAGTTATCAGAGTATGGGATATTTTACAAAGCAATCAGGGAGAAAGGGAGCGGGCCGAACGAGGCTAGCTCCAAGATATGGGGTAATTGGGGCAAGTCAAATAAAGGGACGCTAAGTTGCTAGGCGGGTAGAGTTTAATAACCCGGCCGCGAAGGTCAGGATGGACAGCATTTGAGACGACATGGATGGAAGAACTCGTCGCGGAGGTCCCACCCAATGCGCGACGCTGGAATCCCACGCAGACGGCGGACGCGGGGAAAAGTGGGAGCGGAGTTGAGTTTCTCCACCAATCAGCTGCCGCAAGGCATAATTATACTACATATTGATGTCCACGGGTACTAATTGGGATTCTACTCAGTAGAAAGGGGATATTACAGTAGAGATATGATTATAATGCCTGCCAATTGCCACATGCGGACATCTACAACTGCATATGTTAATATCGGCCTTCATGAAACAATCAAGCCAGCTGTAGGCACCGACATTAGCCTCAGGATGACCTGACAGGGGCTCTGCACTACAGCGCCACGATCCGATATGAGGGAAAAAACCACCAATCTGAGCCAACGTCTCAGACTCGACCAGAGCGAATGGTCGGCTTTTGGAGCAGATGTTACATAGCCTGTTTTAACCGGGGGAGATAAGGTAAGCAACGAATTACACACTAGGATTGGTGGAAGAGCAGATCGATACTTACGCAAGGGGCAAAGGCGAGGATTAGATGGTCCCATGTCCGCAACTAAAACAACCATCTATTCATTGTTCTTTCTGTCCTCGGCGCAAGGAAAGGAACCGGAATTAAGTGACAGCTCTAATCCGACCTGAAAGGGAAATATACCGAAGGGTACATACATAGTCAAGAATCACGAAGATAGGCATGGATGATGATTTGACATCGCAAGAACGAGAGGTACGAAAGAAAGAACGACAGAATCGGGACTAGATCCGCCCAGCATTGTATTTTCAGACAACCAATTAAGACATAAGGAGAGAAAAATACCAGCCAAATCAACAGGGGTATTGGGTAGTAACAACGCACTGAGGAAGGAAAAGGAGAAACGCAGGCCGAGAGATAAGATGGGGAGGAAAGGGCAAGAAAAGCAGAGAGGTATTGGTCCAGAGAAGAAACATGTATGTATGTATCAATATCAGGCACACAAATAATCATCACATCGCTTTGCAAACCGGGATAGCGCTTTTAGGGGGATTTGTTCACGGCTCCGTGCATCAAGCCGGAGTCAACGCTATGTACTAGGACAGCAACACAACCGAGGATCGGTGTGTTGACTGTCTGACATCTTTCGAGACGTCGTGTCTCTACCACGATAGGACATGGTAGGTCAGGTAAGGGAGATAAGTTCAAGCGGGAGAGAGGCCAAAGACGTGCAATCATACATGCAGCGTTCCATTTGTGGGATAATAGCGGGAAGCGAGAAGATGAGCCGAGCCAGCGGCCTGTCATTCTCAGCTTGGATGGAAACACATGCCCAAACGAAAATAGGTAGCAGGCAATATGCAATCCTATTGGCTCGTCGTTGGATAAGCATGGAATAGGCAACGCCATGAACCGGGGAAATCGAGACCCGAGCCGGATTTGGAAAGGAGGTTCATCTTTCAGGCTCGCGCAGAGAAACAGAAGGAAGTGTTTCGAAAAGGTGGACATGGCACATTGCCCGCGCACACGGGACCCACCCACACAAGGATAGGATATCGAGAAATGATGTACGGTCACTCGCGGGTGGAACTGCACCAATTAACTGGGCGGAGAGATGGCGAGCCCGTTCATCATTTTGGGCAGTGGCTTTCTACGAGCAGTATTTGCCGTCTTGGAGACCCGTGGTGCACCGTGGATCATGCGGGGTTCTGTCATCAGGCTGGTATCTAGGTGTGCCGGTGCTACAGGGAGATTGTCAGCGAGCGGATTGGATTGGGCGCTGGAGCCTTGGAGCGTACCTCTTGT